GTTACTAGCGTCACGTGACTTCCTCTGTCGTAACAATATAAATAGCCATCTTTGATATGGTTATCTATATTATCCAGTCCTTCAGGCGACCATGCTCCCCCCCCCTCTCTTTCAGACGTGAAATTGCGGATAGAGAATTATTCCTACTACTTTCCTTTATATATCAGTATAAGAGTTGTATACTCTATAAATGAATATGTGGTTGAAGACTTTCAAAACTATTCAAAATCGTTCAGGACGTTACTTACGGTCACTACCGCTCACTTGATTCAATTATCTGTCTCTATCTCTCTATCTGCAATTCTTCTCTGGTCACTTCTTGCCGGTCTTATATATATACAAAATAGAGGGCGTCTGGCAAACATTCGAGCCTTCACGAACCTTCTAGATACTCATTACGTGTTACCAGAGTCACGTGAATTCCGCTGTCGTAACAATATAAAAAAAGCTTTGTTTGTGATGGAGAAAAATGCACGAAAATATTAACTGAAGACTGATATAATAGGCAAACAGGTAGATGACGATCATTTGGACCAATAAACATTTAGACATACTGAAAAATAAAAGTTTGTTTGTTAAGCACAAAGATACACAACGAGCTATCTGCGCTATGCCTACCACGGGTATTTAAACCCGACTTTTAGCCCTTTGTCTTGCCGCTGAGTCAGTGGGGAACAGAAAAAAGAAATGATATGATGACAAATGAAACTGATGACATCAGATTAATCATCATGCATAAGTAATTGATTAACGTATGCTATATTTATACTTTAATTAAGCAATTAGCGAAAGTTATAAAATTTATAAATGCAGTAGTAAACCTTTGTTACAAAATACTCGTTGGAAAAGCTATAACAAAATATACAAAAAGTACATAAACATGTTTAAAGTAATATTTTAAAGATGAAAATTAGAAGTAAATATGTAGATGGCTAGACACTAAGAGGAGGCGTATCTCTTAAACAAGAAGTGACGGGTCATTTACGATTTAGTGTAAATATTGAGTGACGCGTAGGTGTGATTTTTTAAAATATATTTTTGTAGTAGTAATAACTATCAAGACTTAACATCAAACATATTTAAGTGTGATGTTAATGATTAGTTATGGTGTATTTATAAACTCGAAATTCATTTTAAGCTAAGCCTAAGTTAGAAAGCATTACTAATACTAGTATTAACTAGTACGAGTAGTAGTAGTATTGTTACAACTGAGAACAATACTCTAGAACTAGTGCTGAGTGATAGTATTAGTAGTAGTCATACTAAAGTAGTATATTAATACAGTATTAGATTAGCTAACAATAATATATTTTATAGTACAAAAAGACTGTAGTCTGTGAAGGCTAAGTGTAGTTTTAAAATTATAAAGTTACATGTATTATAAGTTGTATACACCTGAAGTGGACCTCTGAAAGTAATAATGTAATGGTAAATAATATTAGGCTTTATCAGTGTACTGAGACAAGTAATGTACACCACAACTTTGTACATTGAAAATTCAAAACCAGAGCTTCTCTAAGGAATTTTTTTTCAACTGCACAATTATATTTTAACTTCATTTTTCAATACATGGCACCTTATTCTTATTATGACTTCATATATACAGGCCTAGTAACAAATGATCTAAGAACTGAAGAATATTCTAGTAACTACACTTATTTATCAACTCTAGAATGGAATTTTATAATCTTAAATGTGTTTTTTATTATTATTATTATTATTATTATTTATCGACTTGAACTTACTTGTATAGGTGAATTTTCAACTGCACAAATATTTTTACAGTTGCATAATTTGTAATTAACTGCACACTAGAAAAACCCTTGTTCCGAACAAACACAGCATGTAAGGTTGAGGGCACTCTGGTGATTTTTATCAATATTAATGTAAATGTGTAATGTGGATAATCATCATCGTGAAAGAGTTTTCCATTCAAGGTCTAGGAAGAAGGCACATTTTTCTGAATTGTAAAGTGCTCCATAATATTTTTCTATAAGTAAAACTGTGTTTATATAATTTACTTCTTTACAATTCTAGCAATAATTCACATGTTTTTTGCTAAAAGTTTTAATCCATACAATTTTTACCTTTCAAGAAATTAAACATGCTTATTAAACATAATATGTAAAATATATGTGTAATTTGCCATTTCACTAATGTATACAAAGTGCTAGTCTAATTATAACTTTTCTCTATGATATTTGTACCTTACGTATTTCGTTTTTCTTGAAATTTACTGTTTGTTTACCAACTTCACTGACTGTATTAGTGTGTGTATGTGAGGGAAAGAGTAAAGAGTGTGTGTGAGAGATGTTTTCTTGTGGTGGTGGTAGATTATACATATAATAAGCAGCAGTAGCATCGAAATATTTATTGTATTTCTCAAGTATAAAATGGTTATTCCAACTTTATGTAATATACTGCTATGACACTTGTTCAGTAATTACAGGCTTGTATTGCATTCCACTCAAACATTATTTAATTATTCACTAAATCAAACTTAAAACAGTCATTTACATTTGATATAATAATGTAAAATTCTTAAATTAGAAACATATATACAATACTGGTTGAAAATAGTGTTTTCAAACATTTGAAGATAAAATATAAAGTTTACCATTCTTAAAGTACTCATATTTTTGGCATTGTTACTAAAATGTCTTGAACACATCATCTACCTAGCTAAAGATAACTTGTTTATGTTTAAGGAATATGAACCAAAAGTAGCTCTGTTCATGAAATAGGAGGATAAAATAAAGGTGTGTTTCTTTTTATCACAAAGAGACCTTGAACAATGTAACTTGTATATGTATGGGTGAGTAAAATTATGTATTGGTTACTTCACTTTCATCTTGAAAAATCTGTGGTACATAATAGATCAAGCCTAATTGAGTTATAGAATTAGTGAATAATTTTGCATAATTTGTGTAACTGTTTCTGTTTTATCTTTACAAACTTGAGATTTGAGTCTAATATTATTATCGTGTAAAACAATATGATACAGTAGATATATTGATTATGAAATTTTTGTAAAGGGATAATAAATGTAATTGCAAATTATAATTTCTTACATTAGGTGAAACGTTTGTTTTTCAGGGCTTTACCTATGTAGGATGAAATTGGCAAGTACCAAAATGACTGAACAAAAAAAATGTTTTGAAGGAAAAAGAAAATTCTGAATATTAAGTGTTACAAGTGATGTTCTTTGATATAGGTTGCTCTTCTTTACTGGAAAGTAGCCCATGTATATTCCTCAGTTATGTCTGAAAGTTTCATGTAAGATCTCCAAATGATTTAGCAGGTTTCTTTCTTTATCACTGTAAGTCATCGTATCAGTTAACATCATACATACTAACAGATAGGAGTTAATTGCTTATGTTTGTAACTGTTAATGTTTAAGGCATCTTGCTTCCTCATAGATAAAAGTGTATTGTAAAATATGTCAGAAATAAACAATACCAAAGAAGAAGTTATATTTACAGATGAAGGAGAGTCCAAATTTAAGACAGTTAACTTGTATAAAGATAAGGCTGAAATATGTTTCGATCCAAAACTCATACCTTTGGTTAATCAGAGTTATGCTTATAAGTCTGAGAATGATGATATACTAAACAAAACCTCTTCATATGTCGAACTGAAGAGTGGCTCGTTTTCAGCTGACACTAAGACTAATATGGAACGAAACTCTCAGCACACTACTGGAACTAGAAAATCAGGAATGTGGCGCAGCTCAAGTGATGGATCAGCAAAGATCATCCCAGAATCCCGGTCTATTGACAAAATCAATTTAACAACCTCGGAGAAAAACGTGTCAAGGAGGCATTCTGAATCAGATGGCCGAGCAGAGGCACTGAAAGCAAGGATTGATAATAAATTTGAACAACTACAACAAGAACTGCAAAGTAAAGCCAAACAGAATGATATTTTAAGTTCAAAAACTAAAACAGGTGAAGTACAAGAAGATATCAGTGGTATTGACTGTTCTCTTTCTGAAGAAAGGTAATGTGTCGTGTCTTATTTATTTTGTATTTTGATACGAGTATATTAAGAAGCTATGTATTTGATCATATTTTAGCTAAATATATAGTTAGTGATTAAACTTGCCTCATTTTGGAGTATCTCACATCAGTGTTTTTAGATATTAAACTCCTAATTTATTTCTGAATTGTAAATAAATAAATATAAGTAAATAAAGCACAAGTTAACATTTCAATTTTAAGTACTAAGAATATAGCTTAAGCTTAAAGTAACATCACATCATAGACATAACCTGTGAATGAATCTCTAGTACCAGTAGCTAGGTTACAAGATACAATTACATATAACAGGTAGCGTTCTTTCTCCTAATTTTGATCATTAAATCTATAAAACAGTTACTGGTATACTAAACAATGCAGAAGTACAAATTTATGATAACAGCAGAGAAAGCTAATTTTTGAAATTAGAAATACTGATACTAGTATAATTCTAGGCACACTTCTGCTTAACTTTGTACTACAAGGAGAAAACTGTGAAGAAAAAAAATTATAGCTGATGGTTTTGGCAGTCATGATTAGAATGCATACAGCATATTATTGATACTAATGCAACACATACGAGGCAAAAGTACACATTTTTGATGGAAGCAACAAAAACTGATACAATTACATATAACAAGTAGCGTTCTTTCTCCTAATTTTGATCATTAAATCTATAAAACAGTTACTGGTATACTAAACGAGGCAAAAGTACACATTTTTGATGGAAGCAACAAAAACCGTTTGATCATATTACAAAACCAATGTTGAGTTAAGGTTTTTTTAGTTTTATTTATCCTGATATAATGCAGAGGGATGCTATCATAAATATATAGTGCCTGAATGAAGCTCTGTGAAGCTATAGTAGTCTTAATATGGTCATGTGGTAATAAAAACTTGCAGGTAAGGTTAAGCCAGTTAAGGTAAAAGCATGCTTCATTAAATGAAATAAGAATATTGAAGGGATCATTTAATGAAATTTTGTAATCAAAAGTTTAAATTGCTGATCATTTATATTTTTGAGTATGAACAGTCACTAATAAAAAATGTCAAATAATTTGTTCTGAAAAATGTATTCATTCATTCTACATAGTATAATGGAGTATTTTGAGCTGTTGGAGAATTTTATTTCTGAAGTAACTTGACGAAGTTGCTTTCAATTTTTCATGCTTTTATACTTTAAAGGAATAATATTACACCCTTAACTCATACCCCACATACTTGTAAAACTAGTATTTAGGCTTACAAGATTTTTAGTGTGGCATCTAAAATGTAATTGCAAGGGGTGCTGTGCTTCCAGATGCCTTGTTGATTACTATGTGTTGGGCAGTCAATTTTTTTCCTACACTGAACTATATTTTTGTGTTAAAATCTATTGAATATGCTAATTAGTTGGAGTAGTACGGGACTTTTGCTCTCATTTGAAAAATTTTATTTATTATATTTTCATGTAAGATAGTTTAATGCCTCTGAGTTTTCATAAATATACATTACATGAAAAACTTTCTCAAATCTAATAACCTTTGCTATAGTGACAGAAGTGGTCTTTGGTCTAATTTATTTGAACTTAGTGCATGTAGATGTATTAACACTTATTGTCACATAAATATCATGGTTTTTTTTAAAACATTGTTTTTCTTTTGTATGATAATCAGATTTTACTTGTATTCCTTGAAGAAAATTAACTTGTAACATATAGATATCAAGAGACCATTTTGTCCTTGAAGGCTGTTCTTGCACACCCGTAACCGAGAAAATTAAAAAATTAAACTCACCTTTTATTTTTCAGAAATAATCAATTCCCTTTTTAATTAAGTGCTGGCATCCATTACTACTGATTGTAATTCTTTCCATAAGTCAACCACTGTTATAAAAATAAGCATCTTGACTGGACTTTAGTCCTCTGATCCTATTATCTTCAGCATACAGCACAAAAAACATCAGATGTCTTTATCCTATTGGACCTGAAGATAATATTATAAGCTTCAATAAGAACACTTCTTATCCTTCTTTTCTCAAGATAAAAATAACATATCCCTACAAGATAGGCCTGGTACGGCCAGGTGGTTAGGGCACTTGACTCAACCTATCCCTATAAGATAGGCCTGGTATGGCCAGGTGTTTAGGGCACTTGACTCAAATAACATGTCCATATAAGATAGGCCTGGAATGGCCAGGTGTTTAGGGTGCTCAACTCAAATAACATATCCCTGTAAGATAGGCCTGGTATGGCCAGGTGGTTAGGGCACTTGACTCAAATAACATGTCCATATAAGATAGGCCTGGAATGGCCAGGTGTTTAGGGTGCTCAACTCAAATAACATATCCCTATAAGACAGGCCTGGTATGGCCAGGTGGTTAGGGCACTTGACTCAAATAACATATCCCTATAAGACAGGCCTGGTATGGCCAGGTGGTTAGGATGCTCAACTCAAATAACATATCCCTATAAGACAGGCCTGGTATGGCCAGGTGGTTAGGGCACTTGACTCAAATAACATGTCCATATAAGATAGGCCTGGAATGGCCAGGTGTTTAGGGTGCTCAACTCAAATAACATATCCCTATAAGATAGGCCTGATATGGCCAGGTGGTTAGGATGCTCAACTCAAGTAATATATCCCTATGAGATAGGCCTAGTATGGCCAGGTGGTTAGGACACTCAACTTAAATCTGCGAGTCACAGGTTCAAATCGGCATTCCACTAAATATGTTCGCCCTTTCAGCTGTGGGGATGTTATAATGTGACTGTCAGTTCCACTATTTGTTGGTAAAAGAGTAGCCCAAGAGTTGGCAGTGGGTGGTGATGACTAGTTGCCTTCCCTCTAGACTTTTACTGGTAAGTTAGGGACAGCTATTGCAGATAGCTCTTGTGGAGTTTTGGCAAACTTCCAAACAAACCAAGCCCTTTAAAATAAATCTTTCTTCCCAAGTATAATCCTATGAGACCTCCTCTGAGCCCTTTCTCTGTAATTTATTTTTGTATAAAACATTTATTTGTGTGATGCTAGAAGTTTATGAGACACGTTTCTGATTTTCTAACCATCACATTAGACAAGAGGAGATGTCAAACAAAGTAAATGCCAATAAGATGTTTTATAATAAATAGATGGCCACAATTATAAGTGTTAGAAATACATTTATTTTTACATATTTCTGTCTTGTTAAATGATGCACATGTGGCATGTTCTATTAGAGTTTACTTAATTTTGAACAGTTTTATTTTTGAAATCAGGTCACTTGGTATACACATATCTGGGGATAATCACAAAGACAGTGATGTTGTCAAATGTGAGGACCAAGTTTGCCACAGCAGCTGGCGTTCACGTAGTGTTTCGGTAGCCGAGGTGAAGGAACATGCCTATGGACGGTTGCGAGAAGAGCTGACGAAGGCACAAGAGGTGATACTTCAATAAACATGATTAAATCCACTTCAGTTGTACATAAAATTCATGAAAGTAACTTTCATATTGTGTTTTAATAAAATATTTTGTCCTAAACATTGTATGTGATGCCACCATCATCTCTATAAAGCAAAGCTTTCATGTCTCGATTTATGTTGACTTGAAGAGTTTTTATGGTCACATTTAGTGCAGAAAGAGAGTCCAGGTTAGTATTTATCCTTCTTAGTGGGTTTGAAGGGGAAGAAGGGAAATAGTTAAAGTCCTAATCAATTTTTTACAAGGTGTGGGAGCTGAAAAATCTTTATAATATTGGTGAGAGTTTTTCCTTAAGGTCTAATTCTGTAGATGTGGTTGATCTGTATGTAAAAGCTTAAGAAAGTTTTCCAAACTAAAACCCATGGCCTTATAAAAGTTTAATCTAAAAGCTCAGGAAAGCAAAAACTTGTGGAGGCTCTAAGTATGTTAGTTTTCCGAAGGATTTTTGACACTTGAGAAATTCCTAATGAATGTTAAATGTACAATGTGATCCCTATTAGAAAAAAAAGAAAAGTGATTTGGGGAGGATCTGGGATTATTCATCTACGCATATTAGTTGAAGAGTAACATTTAGAAAATTAACATTTCATTAATGCTTTAGAAAAAAAGAAAAGCGATTTGGGGGAGGATCTGGGATTATTCATCTACGCATATTAGTTGAAGAGTAACATTTAGAAAATTAACATTTCATTAATGCTTTAGAAAAAAGAAATGCGATTTGGGGAGGATCTGGGATTATTCATCTACGCATATTAGTTGAAGAGTAACATTTAGAAAATTAACATTTCATTAATGCTTTGGATACAAGTGGGGGATGGATCAAAGTTCACAACGTTTTTACAGAGTTACATTCAAAATGTAAGTAAATACTTTATTAACTGTGTATATCAATAAAATTGACATTAAAAGTAGTTTGTAATTTAATTTTTTATATTATCTAAGATTTGATTTCTTAAATTCAAAAGAAAATATTTAAATAAATTCTCATTCTTCACTTCCCTGTGTTGTTTGCTCTGAATTCTTTCTCAGTTTTCTTTCTTCCCTGATAAAGCCTTTAGAATGTCCACCAATTAGATACATCAACTATAAATATTGACAGGCCAGAATGTAAAATAAGAACCTCCCACCTACTTTATTTTCTGAAAAATTCAAAAATTATCACATCCACCACACAAACTTCTCCAAACTGTTCATGCTTCTGAAATCACTTATTTTCTCATGTCTACTTGTCAGTAGTACATATTTCTAACCAATAGAAAGGTTATTTTGTAAAATACATGATTCTGACTACAGTTTGTTTAGTTTTTATGGTAAAATTCTCTATTTTGCAAGTAGATCTTGATGTGTGTAGGCTGAAATTGATACTCTGAAGAATAATGGAATTTTTTAACTTATTTATACCTTAGTTAGAAAGCAAGATAAATTACAAGTTTTGGAAAGATTCTTTTTTTTCTTGCCTAAAGTATTATTTGTGTTCTAAAATGTATATTTTAAGCTATACAAATTATTTTTTAGACAACAAACATAGTTAGAAAAAAGGAAGCTTGTTAAGGCAGGCACCAACCAAGGACAAACCAGGATAGGGCTAAGATAAATGCTAAATTATTCGTTTTTTTTATGTATATTTTTTAACAAAAGTAAACAAAATGTAATAATCAAAAACTTGTTTGGTTATACAAGAGAAACTGATAAATTAAGTAAAAATACTTTTGGTGATCCTTAAGGAATGTACGTAGTTAGACTTTTTAATTTGCGTATAAATAATAATAAAGAAAAAATTGACACATTTAAATGAAAACTTTTTCTAGTTTATTTTGTGCGACATTTCAGTTCCATTATAACATGGTCTTTACTGCCTGACGAAGAGTGTCTGCTCAAAACTTCACACAGAATAAAATAGAAAAGGATTTCATTTAGAGGTGTCAATATATTCTTTCCAAGCTTTTCTTCTCATGTCTTGCAGAACAACTCTGATTGAAGAATTTAAAACTGTGTTTACAATAAACTCTCCACACTTCTGCTGTGTAACATATTGTTCGTCATGGTGGTTAGACAAGATTCAAAGAGCAATAAAACAATAATATTAAATAAAAGCATTTGTGACAATTAAGATGCTTGAGATAAATAATTTTAATTGTCTGTTACAATCTGATGTCATCTTGGCCCAGCATGGCCAGGTGGTTAGGGCACTCAACTGGCAATCTGAGGGTCGTGGGTTCGAATCCCTGTCACACCAAATATGCTCGCCCTTTCAGCCGTGGGCGTTATAATGTGACGGTCAATCCCGCTATTCGTTGGTAAAAGAGTAGCCCAAGAGTTGGCGGTTGGTGGTGATGACTAGCTGCCTTCCCTCTAGTCTTACACTGCAAAATTAGGGACGGCTAGCGCAGATAGCCCTTGTGTAGCTTTGTGCGAAACTCAAACCAAACCAAACTGATGTCATCTTAGAAAAAAAAGTGTTTTTGATTTTGCTTCATATTTTTTAACTTTCATTACAGATGATTTTGCTACACTTAGCATTAGAGGAGGGAAATAAAGTTTTTTCAAAGAAAAAGAGTTTCATTTCCTTTAGGAGGTTCTAGAAGTTGTGCAAATAAAAGATGAAACTGTAAAATGGAAAAAAGTATTTTGGTTCTTAGCACGAAAATCACTCAATAACAGCTTTATAATTTTCCAGACAAATCTTTGATAAAAATACTTTATTTAAAAAAATCTGATTTTTTTAATATAAAAATGACTTGTAATGTTTACAACAAGTTTGTGAAGATACACTTAGTATGTTCAGAGTTATAGTACGTATAGTTTTATGGTTACAAATTTGGGAAAAATGAGCAAGTCTGTATACAGAGTCGTTGATTCTTAGCCACATTTTTGAAAAAGGTCTTCTTGTCTGATCAGTTTCTTGGAGTATTTTATAAGTCCTCTGCCTTTTTTTTTTGGATGATGACTTATACCTTAATTTTCAGAAAGTCTTTGATAAGATCCATCACAAGACAGTAATTAAAATGTTGGATAGGTGTAAGTTGTGGAAAAATTGGTGGAAAAAATTCATAAACATGTTTAAGAAGAAATGGACATTTTTACATCTGTGAGAACGTGACTAGTGAGTTCTTCAGGAAGATATAGGTCATTTATTGTTTGTGATTTGGGTAATGTCATAAACAGTAGTATTTGTAAGTTTCCTGATAATGTTCAAATTCTGGGAACAACTGAAACTATAAAGGATGCTTTTTTTATGTGAAAGGGGACAATCTTAGTAAATAGGCTATAACGTGGAAGGCGGGTTTTAATATTGAAAATTGTAGCTATGTGCTTTGGAATTTAAAAGTTTGTAAAGGATTTTGTGTCCTCGAAAAGTATATGTTGTGAAAGAAAGGAGGGTTTTTAGGTGTGATTGTCGATCAAATATCTAAAGATCTTTGCTGACTGTTCAAGTTTGGTGAAAAAAAAAGCAAATAAAAGTTTCTAATTGTAGAGACTTTGCACATAAAAACAAGCGACTGTTGTAGCCTTGTGCAAGGCTACCGAGGTCTTGTTTGTAGAATTGGGTGATTAGTGGAACTTGCTAATAAATTAATCAGGAAGTTAATTAATTGATTACATTCAAGTAATTGATTAATCTCACAATAATCAAAAACATTAATAACTGGAAATGCTAATTTCAGTTAGTTGATTATTTTCATGACATTAGTCAATTTAATTATAACTTCGATTGACGATTTTATCTGAAACTAATTAATGTAATCAATGCTTATAGGTGATCTATTATATTGTTAATAAAACAAAACGGAGCAATCATAAATTTTCCATATTTTTGAATAGTTATTACTTTTTGAAAATATTAAGAAAATAAATCTTTTTTTTATCTTTCTATTTAATCAGCACTATCATACAGCACATGTAAATGAATTGAACTGTAAGGTATATGACATTATTAGTTATAATAACCTGTAAATCAGAATTTGTCTTTCTTTTATATAATACTTGGACTCTATGCTTATCTGTTCAGCACTGTTAACTTTTTTATTTTGATAACCACATTTTTTTTTTTATAAAGGAGCTTAAACTGAAAGATGAAGAAGTTGCTCGTCTCAGCCAGATCAGGGATGAAGTTGGGGCTGAGCTTGAGGAACTGACTGCCAGCCTCTTTGAAGTAAGGCTATCAAAGCATTACTTTTCATTCATCTTTATGTTGAAAGAACTAGGGTTTATGTAAAATATTTAAAACTTTCTGCTAAAGAAAAAGAAACACAATATACATAGCTTTTCGTCTCTTCCAACGAACATTCTGCATTAGATAATATAGTTAACTGAAGCAACATTGTGACTGAAAGCTAAGAAATGAAAAAAAATTGTTATGGAACTATATACATAAGTAAAATATCATTAAGCAGTGATTTACTCAATTTTTTTAACTGAATATATATTCCATGTTATTTCCTAAATAATAATTTGTGTTGTTGTTCATTATGTTGGATAACACCAGTGCAGTAAAATTGTATTTTTCTCTTTTCATTATTTCAAGCACATTCATTGAAAATGTTTAAATCTTAGATAAGTGTAATCTAATGATAATTGTGAACATGGATGTATGACAGTTTTATATTAATCCAACTAAAGTCAAATTTGTTGGAACTATCAACACTAACCATTCTGAATCAACGGAAACAAAAACGTTTTCCAACGCCATCTGTTGGCTAGAGTATAGTATAAAAAATCAAAGCAGAAAAAATATTTACTACCAAATAATTTATTTAAATTTTTCAATAAAAGTTATTTATAATGTATCAGAATGTTCACTTACTTACCATATATATGGCACGGAGTAGAATCTATAATGTACTGATTTTAAAATGACTGAATCAAGAAATGGTTATTCCAACTTTTGCAAAACTATCGTAGACATGCAAAAGTTGAGGAATTTCTAATTTTTTTACTCTTGAAAGTATTTCTTTAGCAAGCTATTGTATATCCATACTTGGTATTTTTAGTGACTTAACCGTCAAATTCACATCTTGTTTATATACCATTGCCTACCAATGAGGTCTGCATATTATATTGTGTTGAGTCATTTTAATTTGCGTCTGCTAATATATTCACTGTAGAGAAGTGACCAAAATTTAGGCTGAAATCACTCATTTTTCTATATAAGATTCACAGAGAAACCCAGCATTAATTAAAGGAACCAATTGCAGTATTGATGATATTTATGTTTACATTTTGTGTGTGTGTGTATGTGTGTACTTGTATATTGTTAAGTACCCTGTAACCAACTTAACCATGTAGTCACAAGCAGTTTGGTACATAAATAGTTTAGAAAGATGTTTAACCCTTTCTGGGTCAGAAGAATATCATTGATATCCCCCTATTTTCCTTCCCACTGTAGAAATACTTAACCATATTGTATGAAATTTAGTGCATACTTATTAAATAGTATCTAGTTTTTGATTTTGGAAATTAATATCATTTGGTTTAGTATTTCTATCATTTTATATGTTGTAAAATTTCAGAAGTGTTTGTTATGAAAAAACATTAAAAATACTTCATTTTCTGTTAAAATTTTTCTATTATTGATCGGAAAGTTTCCTATTCTTTCATCTAGTCAGTTTCAACTTGAGTTGTGTTCATTAACATACTTCTTTTATGACACTTTACTTTGCTCATTGCAGCAGGCATCACTTTTGGCTATAAGTCGCAAAAAAAACCTGGCAAAGATTGGTTGGTGACCTATGACTTCACCTTTTACTAGGTTAATACTGTTACCTTTGTCAAGCTAGATATCGTGATTTTGCTATTAGTAATTCTAGAATTGAAAATTTCATTTATATAATTTTGAATTTGTCACAGATGAAAAATAATTATCTATATACGAGTTGTAGTTGTGTAAAAATGATTTTTTTTTTGTCTCTACACATTTCTCAGAAATAAAGCAGATAATAATCCGAAGTATATTTTGTGACTATTTGTATAGAGTAGCTCATAATTCAGTAATAGTCATATATATATATATATATAAAAGGTTCGTGTGTATGATTAGTTAAACACTCTCCGTCTCAGAAAGAAAATAAATTCCTTGAACTTGTAAGTTCGTTTTTATAATCAGTGGTTAATATTATTATTGGTCACTTGTTTTTCTGCAGGAGGCACACAATATGGTTCGGGAAGCAAATGTAAAACATGCAACATCATTAAAATTGCTAAAGGAAGCAAATCTTAAGGTAAGAATTGTTACTTGGTAACTGGATGACTGTATTTTTGTATAGTTTGAGATCAATCACTTAAAAGAAAAAGACAAGAACTCTTCAAACATTTTTTTGTCATGGACTTGAGTGAAATGGCTCTTCTGGTTAAGTTCCATAGGAGATATTTTTATTGGTGTTCTTAAAACTTTGGACTCCTGACAGTGTTAGGAACACCAGCTGTTTATAATTTCTCGTGTGTGATATATGAAAACATTACAACTAAGAGACAACTCCAGTTTCTTTCCACCCATACCTTTGCTTCTTTACAAATAATACATCAATAAAAATTTGGGATGTGATTGTGAAAAGTGAGAAGGTTTCTGATTCATGATATTTGGTAACATCACGAGAGTCTAAGAACTTTTTTTTTAGTTCAAGCAGCACTTAGGAAAAATTTAATTAACTTGGATGTGTTTGCATCTGATTAAGCACTTTTGTCCCACGTTAAGTTTTTTGTCTTAAACTGACTTGTTTGCAAGGGTTTCTTTAATTGTTAAAAGTTTACATTCAATTTCACGTAAGATTACACATTTTATTGGATATTCAGCCTAGTAGGAGAAAGAGAATTTTTCTAAAGTATAAGTCTAAACAGCTAAATGAAACCTGAATAAATAAATCTGGTCTGTATATCTCAAATTAACTCAAAAAGATTTTTAAATAACCCTTACATTTACCTATTTCAGTATTGTTAATCAGTAAGACATTCTGTGAATTTGAGTTATTCATAGAGCAAGTGTCTTCATTGCAACCTAAAGGCACACACTTCTACTTCAGTCGTCTGGATAAATTCACTGTTAGCTCTTCATCACACTCCCTTCCAAAACAAGATTTCATTGACTGAAGACTGACTTTTTTTGCAAGTTTCTAAAACCTACCTGTACACAGGGCAGTGTAATTTGTTGTTAATATATAAATGTTTATATTACCCGTGGCGTATTTTGATACGAAATAACCTGAGTATAAGAAATGCTGAATAGGGAAAAGAAGTTGTGTAAATTTAAATGTGCTCATTAAATTGCCCATGTAGTTGTAGTTTAGCTTTTAATATGTATAATCGGCTCGGCATGGCCAGGTGCCTAAGGCACTTGACTCGCAATTCGCGGGTTGGGGGTTCGAATCTCCGTCCCACCAAACATGCTCGCCCTTTCAGCTGTGGGGGCGTTATAATGTGACAGTCAATCCTACTATTCGTTGTCAAAACAGTAACCCAAGAGTTAATGGTGGGTGTTGATGGCTAGTGCAGATAGCCCTCGTGTAGCTTTGCGCGAAATTCAAAACAAACAAACAATATGTATATATTGCTGTTGAGAATAGTACTGTTCTTCAACATAGAGCTAAAGAACCTGTAAAATCACAAGTTCATCCTTAAATGATAGCATTCATCCATTATTACAGATGAGAAATTATGAAAATTGTCAATCATTAAATGGTTAAATTGATATATTTTTTCATTTTGTATTTATTATTTTCTTTAGAATGAAGTTCTTCAAGCTGAAGTACAGGCTTTAAAAACCCTCGTGATAACTTCCACTCCCAGTATGCCTAACCACCATCTTCATCCTCAACTTAACAGCAAAAATAATGGTGTTAAATCTTTTCTTCGTACGGGACACAAACGTTCTCCTAGTAACTATGAATTAGCCTCACAGAAAGAATCTCCCCCTAACTCTCCTGTTAAAGAAACTCCTCCTGTTGATAGTGGTGTGGAAAGTTTGGAAGTAAGTTTGTTTTGTTCTTATATAATCTGAGTATGTATCTCATTATTCCATGTGCGTATGTAAACCTTCAGATAATAATGGTCTTCCTATAAGTGGTAAAAAAAAGTCTTTTCATAGATTTAAGGAAGCTCTTATCAAAGTTACTGTGTAACTAACTGTTTTTGAGAGGTTTAACTGTTACAGGCAAACGTTTTCTTACCTAAAATTTTATTATCTTAACCATTGTGTAATTTTTCCAATCTGGTCTAAAGTGATGATTTTGAAGCAATATCCTTACGTACACCGAAACAAATTTCAGCAAAAAATATAAGCTCAGGTCATCTCAAGTAAACGTTCATCACAATTTTTTTTTCAGTATTCCTACAGTTTATGTAAACAACCACATGTATATAACGAGAAGTTGGGTCAGTACCATGATTCATTCATAAAACATACCTCTGAATTTAGTGGACAAATTTACTAAAAGTAAAATGTGTAGGTACAATGGGTAAACTGAGAACTGCAGTTTCTATCTGTGTCAGTTCTCATTTGAATATTGTAAAGGATGTTAGGGTTTCTGATTGTAGTGTTTTGTCTTTCAGAAGCTCAAAGGAAGCAGATATGTGAATTAACATCGAGTTAGTATGCTTGCTACCAGTGTATTCAGAAAATATTATCACATTACTTATTGTTTTTGAGTTTCACATGCAACACTTCTATGTATGGTAAAGTTTTTTATTTGTTTTTGTCAAACCATCAAAAAATGTGAGCACCAAACATATTATACAAATTGAAAACATGGAAACTCTTGAAAACAAAAATTGGTCCTTGTCATCACAGTGTAACTTGTGTTTTATTTGTATTCGTATGATAGAGAAGAAATCGCAAAACTACTTCAAGAACAGAACGCTGATCCTGCTACAGGAAAATTCCTTCCTGTTATAATTTAACTTATGTTGAAATAAGATTTTATTGTAATTTTAATAAAGTCAACATTTTTATAAGAAGTGTAAAATTTGTTTTGAAATAAAAAAAGATTAATTTTCTTTTAAAGATTGATCCAATATGTCATGAAGAATTTGTCAACTGGAGAAAAAACCCTCAGCTCATGAAAACACACCCTTTTCTAGTTCGTGTTTATGAAGAAGATATTTGGCCTTGTTTGCGGTTTGCAAATGAACAGGTATATAGTCAAAAACATTTTAAAACTAGCCTTTTTCTTTACAACCAATACAGCTTTTGTAATGTGTAATTCAACATACCACGTGACACACAAAAATCAATGTTTATCTGTGTTTTTTTAATATTTGCTTTTAAAGTAACAAATTGAGTAATATATAGTACTAAAATTTGAATTATAATCTACAGTTTGATACCAAACTTAATGACATAAGTTCATGAAATAGTAGTTCAATAAAATTTTAAATGTGAGTCAAGAAATGAGATGACATGGCCTTTCACCCGTGACCCATCTCGAAAGGGTTAAATTGAAGGAGAACATGTTACAGATATGAACAGGTTGGTAAATTTACTAGCTATGTATGTGTCTGTGCATGTTTGTATATACACACACACACACACACATATATATATATATATATATATTATATTATTGTATGATATGTTATTGTTTTATTTGTTTTTGTTTTTAAACATTAAACACACAAATTAATCCGGCTCAACTAAATGGAAATAAATGATAAGATATGATTACCTTTATGTCTCATTGCAAAGTATATAGCTTATATCTCCCTACAAAGTATATATCTTCTAGATAAGATGATGACCTATAACAACAGTTTTCACCAGTAAATAGATAAATAAATGATGGAAAAATGTATGATGTATATGGATTGTAAAACGTTTTTACTTATTATGTACATTTTCCTATAAGCTAGCTAAGACCAAGTTTACTTTAATTCAAACAGTGTTTTGCTATTGTTAGGCCTTTTGACTTGAAATTTACAAGAAATTGCTTAGTATTGCATCCAAAATGTTAATCATTGAGATAGTTTGTGCATAACTGACTTCCTTATTTTGTACTTTAATAAAACCATTCTTACTAAGTGCACAAGAAATAACTGAAATTTTGTATACGTACCAATCTGTCCATGGAGTTTATGATAATGTGAAAATGAGTGTAATATTATATTTTTATTAATTGATTACTGCTTATGACTAATTAATACAAAAATGATACAGCTCTGGTAATAACTAAATTTGCATATTAAACAGTGTGTGGAATGTGTCAGTATGTCTGTAGGTGTTGATGCTCATCAATGAAAGCTATCTTGAACACTTATCATGATGACTACCATGTGAACAAACTTTTCTGTAATGATCAATTAATTAGGAATTAATTAATAAACAATGCACATATTAATTTTGATATCATAAATCCCATGGTCAAATTGGTACATATATGAAGTTTTAGTTAACTATGTTTAGTATTAATGGTTTTATTAAAGATCAAAATAGGAATTAATATCTGGAACACCCTGTACAGACAGGGTTTCATTAAGTTATAACTTTTGTACTTTTTAAATACTTTGAATTAAGTCTATATAGAAAAATATTTCTATTATTCAATATATAATTTTACACAGTTTCTTCTCTTTAATAACCCATATATAGCATTCAAATAGAAGCACAGACCACCTCGATTTAAGTTATGCAAGCTTTGACACCATTTAAAAATTATTCCCCACCTACCCACAGGTAATGTAGTTAAATTAATTTATAGGTCAGCAAATAATGTAACCCTAGTTTGGATATATGGAGAAATAACTTAAGTGTATTAAGTATGATAATGGTTTTCTTCATAGCGGATTATACATTTTACGTATTAAATATGTTAATATCTAGCTAGAAACAAGCTAAATTCTTTGAATGCAGTAAATTTGAGGGTTTATTTAAACCTATGCGTACTCTTTTACGCATGTCGCGACCCTTTTACGTTGTTTCATTCAAAATGTCTTTAAGAAGCTATTATCATTGTACATCAATAAACTTGGCATGAACACACAGTTTTTAATTCAGATTTATATATTATCTGAGCTATGGTTCATCCCTTTCAGAAATTTAATATAAAAGATAGGCTGCCACAGTTTCCAACCAATTAGAAACATAAATTACACATAATTACAAGCAAGAATCTACAATTTAATCTTGTCAGAAAGGCCTTTCCCCTCTTCCTATGATTTTCAAGATAATTTGCTGATCAACTTTACATGGCTTATGGACGTACTTACAATCAATAGAAAAAGTAGATTCCCCTATACATAAATCTTACAAGTCATTGTTAAGTTTTCATACCATAAACTGTTAGTGCAATTGTTTGGCTTGTGGTGATAAGATTTTGCTGCTCTGAATTTTAAAAGAATTTATCTAAATCTATTTATAGCTTATTCAGAAAGTTAGGTAAATCATATTAGTGTTGGAACATTCTGTTCTAGTGAATGTAATATTTTGTGTGTGTTAAAATGTGTATTTGAAAGCTACGTTAATTTTTTTTTTGACACCCAAATTTGTGAGACTCAATGAGGCTTACAGTAAAATGTCTTCAGTTTTTATTTGAGTTCAAATAAGCCTGAGTCATTGGAATTGTTTGGCTTGTGGTGATCATATTTTTCTGTGCTGAATGCTAAAAGATTTTTTTTAACCTATTTATAGCTTATTTAGAAAATTAGATAAATAATAGTAGTTTTTGAACATTCTATTGTAGTGAATGTTATATTTTTGGGGTTTTAAAACATGTATTTGAAAGCTACTTCAATTTTTTTTAGACACCCAAATTTGTGAGACTCAATGAGGCTGATATTTAACAATATGTACTGTCAATAAGAAGACACAAGATTTAACAATTATGTGTACTCTCAATAAGAAGACACAAGATTTAACAATACTGTGTACTGTAAATAAGATGACACAAGATTTAACAATACTGTGTACTGTCAATAAGAAGACACTAGATTTAACAATACTTTGTACTGTCTATAAGAAGACAAAATATTTAAAAATACTGTGAACAGTGAATAAGAAAACACAATATTTAACAATAATGTGTATTGTCAATAGCAAGTCACAGGATTTAACGATATTGTTAAATATTGTTTTTTACTTGAGTGCAAATGAGACTGAGTATGCAGTAGGTGTTACAAATTCTTGTTTTTGTGTATATATTTTATTCATTGTTATAGAATTTTTTAACAAATGTAACTAAAATATGAAAATTAGAACAACAAAATAAGACATCTAAAGTTTCCTGAGTTCGAGTGTGTGTGTGTTTAACATGACACTTCGCAATCACATGATCAATGGAAAATAGCCAATGGGCCTTTGCTGTAATTTATTGCTTTTGAGATACTATTTCTGCAGTAATACCAAAAACTTAAAATGAAGCAGTCGTGAAAAAGTTAAAAGTCAAAATTGTTGAGGTAATTTAAAACTTTTTTGATCAATACTGTAGTTAATGCAAGGGAAGAAAATGGGATTACTCATTTTTTTAATATTTCTCAACTGTTCATTTTGCTGTATATTGATGATTTTTGTTACAGATAGTGTTAGGGTAGAGAAAATACAAAGTTTTACTAAAGAAAACTTGATATTTATTAAGGGAGCTCTAGAGATTATTCAAATGAAGTATGAAAACTGTACGATGAAAAGAAGTATTTTTATTCTTATCGTGAAAATCAACTTTTATTCGGACTGACTTAGTACAAGATTCATAAGTTCACAGACAAATCTTTGGTGAAAATACTTTGTTAAAAGAATTGTTTGCAAATAGTAAATAGGTGCAAATAGTAAAGTCAGAATTATAGTGAACATTATTATGTATAGCTTCGTAGGTGCAGGACCTATCAATTTGACTGAGCTCATGAACAAGTGTTTAAGTGAAGGCTTGATAAATATTTAACTAATCAGGGCTGGATTTGAGTGTTGACCTTTTTTTTTAAGTGATTAGGACAGCCTCAATGAACAAAGAGGGCCCCTTGTTCCTTAAATGTTAATTTACACATGGAATGTCAAGAAAGATGTACTTTATTAGTTGTGTTATGTCTTGTGAATTGTTTGAAGCTGACTCCGTGGAGGTTCAGGCATAAGTGTCCCTAATGTAAAACTGTTGACTGAAGAGGGGACACCAGTCAGTAGCACCCACCACCTACATAGCCATCTTTAACCAAATATTGGGATCAACTGTTACTTTTATAATGCACCCAAAACCAAAGTCAGGAATATGTTCAGTGGCGTGGGCCTGAACCTTGGACCTTCCAAACTATTAGGCCAGGCCATGCCAAGACAAGAGACCATGTGCGTATAGCTTCAGTATCTTTTTAAGATTCTAGCTTTTGCTTCAGTCTCATACACATGTTAAACTTTGACCTTATAATTTTTGTTTTGATTACTTTGTTCTGAAGTTTATAGTTTTTACTTTACTGATTACCAAAGGTTTAATAGCATAATAAGTTGTAGTCTAGTTTATTGCAATTGATTTTTTTGGTGTAACTAAGATTTTTTAGTGTTATGAATTGTTTCCTTAATTGTTTAATTATAATATATATATATATATATATATATATGTATCAAAGTTTATGCTACTGCTTTTCACTTTAGCATTAAACACACACACACGCAAAGCTTGAAACATAAGATCATTTTTGGATGAAAGTGTAGGAGGCCTCTGTGAAAGTAAGAACTCTTTAGATAGGGGGTATACATTATTTATTAAAAGTTTTTTTTTCTTCTTCTTCTAGTTTGCAAGTACAAATCAACTAAGCTCCTGTAAAATTGGAAAGATTATGGTTGCTTTTAGGCACATTTATCCACCCACACTTACCCAAAGATTCAGGCTAAGATTTAACTGAAAAGTAATAAAGGAAGAGATAAAACATATGTAGTGGTACTAAATCTCTTAACTGGCAAAAAATACTGCTTTTGAGGATTAACAGAATATTAAAATCATGGTCTTTTTAATTGACCCAGTTACTAAGGCTACCTGGACAGTAACTTGTGGTAAAAAAAATCTAGATACAAATGCTATTTTGACACAACTCTAGTAATAAAGTAGTACTTCACTTGTTAATTAAGAGGATTCCGAGAAAAAACGTGCAATCACACATTAGCTTATTTTTGTTGTTGTTTTGAAATATTTATTATGGCTAGAAAAATACAGTTTTAACCATGTTGATAGGAAGTTGGGAGTTATATTACATTATAATTGTAATTTTTAGAGCTAGAAAATACAGTTTTAACCATGTTGATAGGAAGTTGGGAGTTATATTACATTATAATTGTAATTTTTAGAGCTAGAAAAATACAGTTTTAACCATGTTGATAGGAAGTTGGGAGTTATATTACATTATAATTGTAATTTTTAGAGCTAGAAAAATACAGTTTTTAATCGTGTTGATAAGAATTTGGGATGTGGGGTGTACATTGTATTATCATTGTGGTATCTTTATTACAATTTTATGTCAATAAGTGTTTAATGAAAGGGTTAGATCTTACTGGGTGAAAACATTTGATAGTTAAGTACAAACTGTTTGATCAGGCTTTCCTGAAAGTTGGTTGAGGCACAACTAAGATCATTACCATTTGGTATAGTAATAGTTAAACAAGTTTTTATATTACTTGTTATGCTAAGTAATCGGTTACACTCACTCTCAGAGGAACTTTCTTTAATTCACTTGCTTTTTAACATCTAATATGTTAAGTTCTAGAAAACTCAAGTTGTAGTTATATAGTTGGTTCTTTACTTTAGACTTACAAGTAATGTTAGAAATGATTAATTATAATATAGTATTTTCAACAAATTGTACGAGTATTTTATGAGTTAAAGTGCTTGTTACTCTTAAACATCAAAATGGTTTTTGTGGTTTTTTTTTAGCTAGCAAAAGAGGTTTTAAGATCCATAGAAGACAACAGCATTGTGATTGAAGATGTTAATGGCAAGAATCCCTTCCCAAAGTATGTTTAACTTCATATTGATTAATATTGGTTCAAACATTGATTGTTTATTTGTCATTTATTTCCACATACTATTCCGCTTTGAACTATTTATAGCAGAGATAGTCGGTGACATTGCAATGTCCCTAAAAAACTGGACAAGTCCAGGTTACAACGGAATTATGTTCCCTACTCGGTGAAATTAATTCTACCACTATTGTACTAAAAAAAAAATATAAATTTCAAGCTATTATTTGATACACCACTTTTCTCTTGAGTTTTACCAGTTTGGGGAATTCTTTCCCTACAGTAACAGTGCAAGGACAAAATAAAAGTAAGGTTGGACTTCACACGGTGGTGAGGTGTATATTAGAAACCATAGGTACTTCAAAGAATTTTATAGAAGGTGCTACTTCCATTGTCTCTGAACACTGCAAAATATATTCAAGTCATCCAGCTAAATTTAGCTTGCAACTTCCCAACAGCACTGTGATTGATATTTTTTTCTTCTCACCCTGGATGTCGTGCATTAAGTTCGGCAGAAACCCTCCGCTTGGTCCAACCTTCTCGTGCTTTGACAGCACCATAATTAGTCATGTATTTGAAATTAAGAAAAGCTGCAAATCACCTATGATTCCCTGTATTTGTATAGTGTTTTGAATTGTCGTTTAGTCAACACGGTGAATCTAAATAAATGATATATTTGGATTCATATCTATCTTTAGTATTTGAAACAGTTTGTCTGCTGAATGATTCACAAGAATAAATTAGTAGCATCAATTCTACATATTTTTCAAATCTTATATTTCAATACAGGTTCACTATGGTGAGTAAAGCACAACTTAAAACACCATACCTATAATATACAATCCACCACTATAAAAGGCCTAATCTTATTCTTTTAATTTGCCCTTGACCAGGGTTACTGATGAGTTGAATTCCAGGAAACTGGTATAACAAGTGGTAAATCAAGTGATATATTTGGTGAGTAAAGCACAACTTAAAACACTATACCTATAATATACAATCCACCACTATAAAAGGCCTAATCTTATTCTTTTAATTTGCCCTTACCCAGGGTTACTGATGAGTTGAATTCCAGGAAACTGGTATAACAAGTGGTAAATCAAGTGATATATTTGGTGAGTAAAGCACGACTTAAAACACTATACTTGCCACTGTTGTAATCCTGATTAATCTATCAGAAATTTAGCTATTGGTCAAACAAGTATACCATCTTTCCAGTGATCTCACTAGCTTCATTAGTTATAACAACAAATGTACTTTCTTCTGCCATTAAATATTTTATATTCTAAAGCTGAATATCAAAGCCGTTGCCTTAGATGAAAAGATATTTAGTAACAAATATTTTGTGAATGCATTTTTGCATGGTTTCTG